CCCCCCCTTGCCCAGGTGACCAGAGCATCGCCTCCCAGGCGCCAGGCTTTTGTCTGCAGACAAGGAGCGAGATCCCTGCTGTGAGAGATTCAACAGCAGCCTCTCGGGCTGGCTGAGACAGATCTCTGGAGAGGGGCACCGACGGGGGCATTTCTGCCACACTCATGGATAATGGCTGCCCTTCTTCCTGGCCCAGGCCTTTTTATAACCTCTCTGACCTCAGCAGCCGGTCCAATCGAAGCTGCCAATACTGGCTACAAACCGTCCAATCTGCATGGCATCCCTGGCTACCTGGGCCCGCGCGCAGGGCCGGGTCTTCCCCCCCTGCCCAGGTGACCAGAGCATCGCCTCCCAGGCGCCAGGCTTTTGTCTGCAGACAAGGAGCGAGATCCCCGCTGTGAGAGATTCAACAGCAGCCTCTCAGGCTGGCTGAGACAGATCTCTGGAGAGGGGCACCAACGGGGCATTTCTGCCACAGCAGCCCCTGGTGTGTGCAGGGCCCAGACCCGGGGGGACCCAAGGTGGTGGGGCAGGATGGTGGGAGCCTGCATGGGACATGCACACGCCCTGCTCTGCCTCACCGGTGGCCAGTGTGGGGCTGACTTCCTGGCCCAAAGCTGCGTGTCTCTGTTGCCTAATAAATACCATGTCCTGCCCCTTGTACTGTTTCCATCCTGATAATGTTTGGTTCTGGCCACAAAATGCCAAGAAATGTGACCTCCTATGTCTGATAGCCAGCCTGCCCTCTCACCCTCCTCCTCACACACTCACAAAATGGGCAGCTGCTTGGCTTTACATGTCTCTCCCTAATGCACACGTGTGTGCTCACACTTTTTATTTTAAGGGTGAACCTGCGAGCACATCAGTTACTCAGGAGCATTTCTGCCGCCGTGGCTCACAGCTGCATATTCTGTCTGCAACACAAGAGGAGAGATCTCGCATCAGTTGTGGGTAGCACAGCCCAGAGACCCCAGCTGAGGTCAGCGCCCCACAGTGCTTGGTGCTGAATGAGCACCGGATAAGGATTGTGCCGATAAGTGAAGACACTGTAAGTGGGAGGGGAACCTGATGCCCAGAGAGTGGCCAGGATTTCGCCACAAGCTTTCAGGTTCTCAGACCCAGAGTTAGAAAGAGGACTCAGGTGTCCTGCCCATTAGATCACACGGTCCCCTCAATTGACCTGCTTCCTGGGACCTTTTTCAGACTCAGAAATGCCCTGGTCTGGGTTTTCTTTTGCACTACCCCACACACAGCACCGTGTCTGCCCACAGACATGCAGCCACTTCTGGGGTGGGACACAGCAGTTCTGCACCACAAACCCAGCACAGCGCTGACAGCAGCGGGGAATCAATCATTAATACGGCAATTCCGCCGAGTTGCTGGAGGATGAGCCCAGACCCCAGTTCTGAGCATCTTTGTGACACAGTTGGAGAAGCAGTTACCTCTGGGCTCTGCCTCGGGCGCACATTGCTTCCCGGTGCTGCCGCTCTCCCTGTTGGAGGAAGCAGAGCAGGGGCTGTTAGTGGGGCAGGGATGGGGCCAAGGGCTTGAACGTCGAGCATGCTGCGGCCATTACCTGTGCAGGGGCACTTGGTGGAGAGCAGGATCAGGCTCTGCATCAGCAGGAGGAGGCAGATGCAGGGCAGCCCCACCCAGCGCACGACCCAGCAGGGCCCTGCGGGGAGAGGAGACGCTGAGAGCAGGGCACAGAGCCTGCGGCTGGGAGCAGATGAGTGGTCCAATCCCAGAGGCTGCGGGGAGTGGAGAGGGCCTCACCTACCCTCTGATGTGGTGCCCAGGACTTTGGCCACGGCAGTGCTGATGTTTCTCTCGGTTCCCTTCTCTCTGGCGGTGCAGGTCCAGCAAGTCCCCGCATCCCACCTTTTCCTGGGGACCATCGTCAGGCTCCAAGCACCTTCCCTGTCCAGGGCTCTTGTATCTTCCCCAGTGTCCCAGAGAGGTGCCCCCCAGCCCCGAGCATGCGGGAAGAGCAGGCAGAGCAGGGGGATGGGGTCTGGGAGCTCAGTGTCCTCTGGGGGCGAAGGCGCCAGGATGGCAAGGCTGGGCTGTGGGGTGTCTGCACAAGAGTGGGAACATCAGGGCCAGAAACTGGAGGGACATGGGCTGTTCCCCATAAGGCAGCTCATGCCCACCCAGCCCCAGCAGCAGAGCTGAGATGCCCGGGGCTTTGTCTACCCCAGTTTCAACACCAAACCCCTAACAGGACATGGACCCAGGTACTTTTACTGGGGTTTCTTGTGTCGTGCTGGCAGCAGTTGCATGGGGTACAGATCACAGAGGGAGACCTGGTCTGGTGAGAAGAACATGAGCTATGGAGACAGAAAAGCCCCCCTCCCGCACTACCTTCCCCAGTGCCCCTTGTGAGCTAGTGGCTACTTTGCTCTGTGCCTCAGTTTCCCCAATGGCCATGAGAACTGGGAAGGAGCAGCGCAGCACAGGAGCCACCAGTGGACATCTCCCAGGTGGATTAATTCCCATCTGCCTGAGGGGTGGCCCTGGTGCCCAGCCCACACGGTTCCTGCCTCCTTCCCTCCCTTTCCTCTGGGTCTCTGCATGGGACATGGGGGGAAATCCACAGTCAGGGACAGTGGTGGGTGGGGGGGCAGATGGGTGCTCTCTCCCTACTACTCCACAGATAGAGGGGGAAACTGCCTGGTGCAGCCTGAACCACGACATGAGCCTTTATACCAGGCCCTTGAGCCCCACGGGAATCTGTGAGACAGGAAATCAGGGGGAGATTTCTACCTGGTGCCCAGCACCCAGGTCCCTGCACTGGGGTCTCAGCTGCTGGGGCTGCGCAGTTTGGAAATCCCGGCTGTGTCTTTGGGCTCCCACGTGGGAGCTTCTGGGAGCTGAAATGGTTGAAATCCTGGGTCTGTTGAGTGAGCCCCAGAGCCCCGGTCTCCTGCTCCCACCCCCTGCCCGGGGCACTGCCTGGCCCCTGCTGGCCCTGAGCTCACTCCCAGCTTGGAGCGGATGCTGCGGGGGGCAGAGTTGTGCAAAAGGGGAATTTTTTTTGCCTCCTGTTACTGGACTGATGATATCTGACCTGTTGGAAACTCACCGGAGACGATCAGCCTGGTCCCGTTCGTGAAGTCGGTGTGTGTAGAGACATCGAGGGCACAATAATAGACCCCAGAATCCTCCTCCTGTAGCTTGTTGATGACAAGAGAGTGCGTTTTCCCGGTGCTGCTCACTTTACTTGAATATCTTTGTTTTGGTTCTACATATTTACCACTCTGGGCAACCCACTGCAGACTGCCATCCTGATGTTCTTTGTACCAGTGTAGAAATGATCGTTTGTGTAAAATAGTGCAGTTCAGCTCTGCAGTCTGCCCTGGGATCATCCAGATCTCTGCTGGGCTTTGCTGCAGCCACAGCCCCTCTTGGGAAGCCGCCACTGCAGGGGAAAGCACGGTGTATGCATGGGGGCACCAGTGCAGTCGGCTCCCCCGCTGCAACATCTTCATTTATTCACAGCTTTCACTAAAGTGACACAGTTGAAAGAACCATAAAATCACCTGTGATAGAGCTATGAAGTGACAGGATTTGGGGTCACTGGGGAAAGCACACAAGAAAATAACCCACTCGATTCATGTGAACATAATATTGGATGAGACATAAAGAAAAATTGAAATGCAGCGATATACAGTAGGAAATGAAGAAGGGGGAGTTCTATTTAACTGTGCCCTTATTCTCCGTGCATGGAGCACCAATGCTCCCTGGCTGTGAGTTGTCAGAGAGGAGCCAAATTGTTTTTTTTCCTTAGCCCAGGACTTCACATTTTCTCCCAATGCAGAGATCTGCTTCTCTCTCATTTCTGCCAAGAACAAACACGACCATAAATCTCTCCAAGATGCATCACACAGCCCCTTGCCTGCCCTGCAAACAGCCCTCGCACAAGTCCTGGAGGCCTTTTGAGCTCCTTTCAATCCTCGTTTCCATAAATCATCATTTTCATATGATTTGTATTTCTCGGAGAGAAATGACAAACTGAAACCCCAAGAGGCTGGGCTGAAAAATTGTCCCTGTTCAAGCATCCATTGCAATATCATCACACCCAGCTTGGACCAGACACAGACAAGGATCATTTGCTGCACACATGAAAAAAAACCATCCACTTACATTTCTACCCTACCGCTCCTGCAGAGATACAGGGTGTTCCCCCTATGGCTCATCTGAAATCACCACAGAAAGCATTAAAGTACCTCTTGTTTCCAACACTTTTCTTGAGGCTTTTTCTTTCCTCTGCTTCTTGAAATTCCAGCTTCAAACAACCTTCCCCCAAAATAGGTGACCTTCCCCCAAAATATATCCTGGGAAGTTGGTATAAAGTGCAAGAGGGCCAAGTAGATGCTAAAAAGAGCTCTGTACTTTGGCAGTCGCAGTCTACACTGTTCCCAAAGGGCTTTTAACACACACATCATTTTATTACATCGCTCAGAGACTGACACCTGTAACTCTCCCATCTCTCTCTCTCCTGTGCAGCATCGCGGGGTGTTTCCATCCTGCCAGGACGTCCCTGTGCACAAGGGAATTGTTCTTATGTGGGGAGAAAAGACCGAGGAGCTGAAAGACTTACCCTGCAGGATGAGGAGTAGGATCCCAGCCCAGGGGCAGCACATGGTGTGGTCTCTTCAGCGCTGGGAGGATGCTGTGAGGCTGCTCGATGGGTCTCTTCTTTCTGAAAGCCTGGGTCACGTGGGAAGAAGACCTGTTTCCTGTCTCAACTTGGAGGGGACATGTCTACAAGAGGAGGGCGCTGGTGGGTGGGACACTGACCTCCGACACATTGAGAGATGTGATCCTTGCCACCCACCGGTCATGAATATGTGACCAGACTGGGGTTTATTGCAAGAAGTCTTTCAGCTCCCCCCTGTAGCAAACCAGCCGCCAACTGAATCCCATCCCAGTGTCTCTGACCTCGCTGAGATGTTTCCAGCACAAGAGGTCTTGTCCTCTCCACCCTGCTGTCAGTGATGCTTATACAGCCCTATGGATATACATGGTGAGGATATAACCCACACACACCTGTCTCTGAAGCTCCCACTGAGGAGACCGGTCCCTGTAAGTGTCTGTACACCATGTGTCTGGGTATGTGAGCAGGGCTGCATGGGACCAGGCTGCTGACCTGGGCTGTCCTTGTTCTTCCTTCCCCTCTGCCTTGTCCATCTCATGCCATGTGCTGCTGCTCTTTTTCTCCCCTCAACAAAAAAAACAGCATGAGACTGTTCCTTGAAGCCAGATGTCCTTTTTTGACATTCAGTCTAAGTTGGTCCTTGCTTTACTGCCAGTCCATTGAATGAGCAAGGGGAGGATGCTCTGGCCAAACTTCCACCGTGCAGGTGAATTGGATCGACCAGACTGGACTTCATTGAATTGAATTGCACAGGTTACAGGTGTGTTCAGCATCTCGACATGCAAGGACTTGCTGTGAAAGCCCCTGGGCTGGAGCATCCCTCGGGCTGTGCCTGGGACACAAAGGGCTGTGGTGGTTTCCTCCCATCTGAGCTCCTGCTGGAGACACACACTCATGTCCATGGAGCACCTCCTAGGACAGAGGAGGAACAGCTCCTTCCCTTCCAGCGGGAACCATCCCCGTGGGGCCGTGCACACACTGCTGAGCTGATGCAGGGGGTTTCCAGGAGGAAACCTGTATTTGAAGGAGGAATTTGAGGAAACATTTCTAACTGCCCCCAAGTGACTTAGAAGCTGAGATCCCTTTGCCAAGCAATTGGGACGTAGTTCATAAATGCACCAGTCACTTCTGCACATGAGACATTGGCTCAGGAATCCCCTCTGAGATTTTTCTTTGGCTTTCTCTGTTTTGCTTTCCTCTTTGTTCACCTGATTTTTTGATGGCCTTGTCTGTGCAATGGTGGGTTCAAGGTCAGGCTTTGTTTTGGGGGCTGCTTGGGGTGTTTTAGGGCAGACATGGTGGTGAATGTGCTGAGTGTCCCCATCCCAAAAGCTGTGTGACTAACTGCTCTGTATAGCTTTGTTCATGGAGAGAGGCTTTAGTCTCAGTGTCTTCCCCAGCTGGGGCCAGACATGCAACCTTCAGCATGTACTTAAAGACAAGAAAGGAAATCTTTGCTCCTTTCTAAAGCAGATCTCTATCTAAATGGAGGAGGCGGCAGGGGAAATGACCACCAAATATGTGACACTAAATATAAAGTGACCTCACACATCCGCACTAACACGGAAAACCTCAGGGCTGCTTGCCTGGGCCTTTGCACCACAGCCTCCATGGTCTGGCTCAGCTCTCAGAATTTGCTGCTTCTGACTGCAGACAGCAGCGCTGCTCTCTCCACGCCATCCAGCCATGGGGACTATTCGATCGGCTCCCCCAGTCCACAGGGGCTGTGACACTGTGTGAGATCAAGCTGCCTGCATTCCCGTTCATGGTCGTTTCTGTCTCTGCTGCAGATAATCTTGGCTCAGAGCATTTGTGCACCTGACACTGTTCAAGGGCCTTGTTTTTTCTCCCATCGCACAGGGGAGGCAGGAGGAGAGGGCAGGAGTTACAGAGTGGATACCCGAGCAGCTGGCACCGAGGGGCCCCGCTCCCTCCCCGTGGCCAGAGCAGGGAAGATCCCTCCCCTCTCCCCTGCCCAGACGTGCTGAGCTCAGCATCACAGCATGGGCCCAGGGCAGGACGTGAGCATGGGGCTGGCCCAGCTCCCGAACATAGGGGCAGTGATGTCTGTGATGCCCTGGGCAGTTTAAAATAAGTAATTTTAAATAAGAAATTGGGGCTTGAATGGCTGGAACACAAGGCAACGGAACCAGTCTCGCAAGCACCAAAGTGATTTAGGGGCATGGGCACCCTTTGAAGAAAATGGATCCTGGACTGGTAGGACACTTGGGCTCTTCTGAGTAGGCCAGCAAGGGGAGATGTTTTGTGGCACTTTAGCTGCTGGTGTAGCGAGTGTTAATGCTCATAGCAAATTGAACCACAGGTCAGATGCAGGGAAATGAGATGCAGATCTGTTCACAGCAAGATGATGAGGCTAAAAACCCCCTCCCCAGAAGCCACGTCCCTGTCAGCGGTGCTCCTCCCCGGAAACAACCAGCCCTGAGCCCTTGCATTGCAGCTCTGCACTTAGACGGCAGCCCTGGGCCGGAGGGGCTGGATACTCGTGGCCATCATGTTCCTCGCCAAGTCCCTGTTTCTCTCATGCTTAGGTAAGTCCCCCACACGGCTCTCAGCACCGTGCTCCTGGGATCAGGGACACGAAGTACCTCAGCAGGACACAGATTGCAGTGCTGGGCTCTGTTGTGTTTCCACAGTGTTGGGAGTCCAGCTACACCTGCACCAACCTCAGCGGTTCCTGGTTGTGGAAGTCGGTGGGACAGCAGAGATCCACTGCTCCTCCAGCAAGGATGTGGATGGGGGAGCAAAATTGCACTGGTATCTGAGAAGGGCGGGTGAGGCCCCCATGCACAGGAAGGACTGTGCGGATGATACAAAAGGGCCCAAATTTGCTTGCAAACATCAGAAATACGGCACAACCCTGGAAATCTGGGACATGCAAAGGAAGGAGTCTGGCATTTATTACTGTGCACATGCAACCACTAGCTCCTTGACTTTTGGGAACGGAACCATGGTGATCGTTGGAGGTAACGAAGCATTGCTTCTTTCATTAGAAATATCTGAGTGTCTCATTGCTCATGTTCCATTAGAAACTGTAAGAATATATAAGAGTAAATAGCTGAAAAGAAGTTGTGTTTTTAGCCAAGTAAAATGGGTTCAGCATTAGCTGTTGGAGGCAGAGAGAGAACGGGCTATCTGGCTTCTTTCCCAGGGAAAACCTGGCAAGTGGTGCAGGGGAGTGCTGGGGTCTCCGTGGGGCTGGTCTGTGCAGCTTTTCCCCCCGGGGAGCCGTGACGGCGGGTGAGAAGATTGTGAACTCCAGAAGCTGCTAGTGCTGCCCTGAGAAGGCTGCCTGGCTCTCTCCTGGCTAGGATGACTGTGCCTTGAGTTGGTTCCTCTCTTCCAGTTCGGCAGTAGATGGCACATTTCCTTATTCCCCAGTAGATTTGTAGAAATTGAACCACAGGTCAGATGCAGGGAAATGAGATGCAGATCTGTTCACAGCAAGATGATGAGGCTAAAAACCCCCTCCCCAGAAGCCACGTCCCTGTCAGCGGTGCTCCTCCCCGGAAACAACCAGCCCTGAGCCCTTGCATTGCAGCTCTGCACTTAGACGGCAGCCCTGGGCCGGAGGGGCTGGATACTCGTGGCCATCATGTTCCTTGCCAAGTCCCTGTTTCTCTCATGCTTAGGTAAGTCCCCCACACGGCTCTCAGCACCGTGCTCCTGGGATCAGGGACACGAAGTACCTCAGCAGGACACAGATTGCAGTGCTGGGCTCTGTTGTGTTTCCACAGTGTTGGGAGTCCAGCTACACCTGCACCAACCTCAGCGGTTCCTGGTTGTGGAAGTCGGTGGGACAGCAG